CCCCCCACCATCTCCTACCTACTAACCTCATCCCGCCCCCTTGACCTGTCCATCCTCCCTAACTCCCCACCTACACTCACCTTTACTGGCTCTATCCCCGCCTCTTCGACCTGTCTGTTTCCTCTCTTCTATCCATCTTCTATCCGCCTCCCCCTCGCTCCCTATTTATTTCAGAACCCCCTTCCCCGCCCCCATTTCTGATGAACGGTCTAGGCTCGAAACGTCAGCCTTTCTGCTCGGCCTGCTGTGTTCATTCAGCTCTGCACCTTGTTGTCCAGGAAAGTTGACGTCTCGGGTCGGGACCCAAGAAGGGTCCCTAATGCTGCCTGGCCTGCTGTGTTCTTCCAGCTCCACACTTATGACTCCAGCATCAGCAGTTCTTAACGATCTCTGATCTGCAAGGGTCCTTCGGTTAGTTCCCGGGCTGATCAAACCGCACGCCACTGTCGTACAACACAACGATAAGGATCAGATGGGGAAAACAAAATAGTCAGAACTCAATGTCGAAGCAACAGCAATGTTGCTTCATAAACAAGGAGCTGTTACTCATACAATACAATCGAGGAGGACTTTTCAACTCGTGGGTAAGAGAAAAACCAACTAAAAACTGGTTGAGGCCCTACACAAAACTAAAGTTTGCGGCCTAAGAATCAGCATTAGTGAGACATTAAAAATAGCATTATTTTCCTATAAATTCTGATACAATTACTGCGGTAGAGGATCAATGGTCTTTTCTTTTAAAAGAGTTCACTGATACAGACATCGCCTCATACACCTTAGTAGATATTCTAGCGAAAGTCAGCCCAAGTCGTATTAAGTTGAAAGATATTTTTCGTTTATTGCAATACTATTCACTCACGCTATCGATCACAACTCAAATTTTCCGGTAATTTGGGAAGTTCAGTCATGTGACTATTTGCTTTCACTTACAAACGAGCAGCCAGAGCAGAATATGACCCACATTACAACTTTTGGTATTTTTACAAGAAGTTAATCTCAAATTAAAAATTTATCGCTAGTTAGTTAGTAAAAAAAAATTCCAAAAGCGTGTCAATCACTTTAAAGTACTATTGTTTATTCCTCAAACACCAATTAATCGAATCCGAACTACATTAAGCGGCTTAAAACGTAAGACCTTCTAAACTTAAATACATGCTCAAACAAGTCGCTCACAATCCAACATTTAAAGTTACCAGATTCACAGCAAAAATCGATAATGCTCAATCACTACCTAAACAATCCCAGACTTTCACCGCAACTTTTTAAATGAGACACAGCGTTACGCTCTCGTTTGATTGGACTAAATCAGACGATGAATCCAGAAAATTTCAAAGCAAAACATGCTCAGTTCAGTATGGCGACCCCTACCGTTTGGAGGATTGGGAAAAAAAAACTCGTCAATAGAACCAGAGAAGGAACCAGAAGGTAGCGGAACTAAAAATCTTAAGAGAAGGGAACGCCTGCAGTATACAGGTCCAAAACGAGAGAAACCTAAATACACCATGTGCGCTGCCTGTTCAGCCACGAGGAACGACATATTGACATTAAAAGCATTTGTAAATCGTCCTGTTTTGAAATTCTCGGAATGATAATGAGATGGATTGCATATCATTTTCAAAAATTGATATGGTGAATGGATTTTGTTCCTTTAGCTCATCAATCCTATATAAAAGTAGTGACTAAATTTGTAGGTTAGCATCAAAATAAAACCTTGCTGTGTTGTTGCACTGCATCTTGTTGGTGTTAACACATTGCAGCCCCAGTCTGGCAGTGCTAGAGTAAGTGAAAGAGTATGGTGGTGAAGAGGATCTCAGTCAAGTGGGCTACTTTTGGAAGCTGTGGAGCTTCTTGAATGATAGTGGAGATAGAATATTCCAGGAAAGTAGACAGCGTTCCAGTCATATCCATCCATTGACTCCATATATACTTCCCGCTGCTTCAGAAAAGCAACCGACATAATCAAAGATAACAAGGTGTAGAGCTGGATGAACACAGCAGGTCAAGCAGCATCAGAGGAGCAGGAAAGCTGATGTTTTGGGTCTGGACCGAATCAAAGAGCCCTTCCACGCTGGTTATACTCTCTTCTGTCAGGTAGAAAACATAAAAGTTTGAATACACATAAAAACAGATTCAACAACATCTTCTCCCCACTGTTATAAGACTTTTGACGGACCTCTCAAATGTTAATCTCTCCCTTTGCACCTTGATAACAATAAATCAAATCAAAATACATGGCTTTCAGAGAGTCAATAGGTGAATTAGTCACAGCAGAATATCCAGCCTCTGGGTTTGTGGCACACTACAATATGGCTGGTAAAGATAACTTTCTGGTCCATTGTAATCTTCCCACTGGATACTGATTAAAGGACAATGTGGGGATAATCTTGCTGAAAGTTAAGGGAAGGTTCTTGATAAATGTGAGGTGCTGCATTTTGGGAAGGCAAGTCAGAGCAGGACTTATACACTTAATGGTAAGTTCCTGGGGAGTATTGTTGAACAAAGAGACCTTGGAGTGCAGGTTCATAGTTCCTTGGAAGTGGAGTCCCAGGTAGACAGGATAGTGAAGAAGGCATTTGGTTTGCTCAACTTTATTTGTCAATGCATTGAGTATAGGAGTTGGGAGGTCGTGTTGCAACTGTACAGGACATTAGTTAGGCCACTTTTGGAATACTGCATGTAATTCCAGTCAGCTTGCTATAGGAATGATGTTTTGAAACTTGAAAGGGATCAGAAACGATTTACAAGGATGTTGCCAGGATTTGAGCTATAGGGAGAGGCTGAATAGGCTGGGGTTATTTTCCCTGGAGCATCAGAGGCTGAGGGGTGACCTTATAGCAGTTTATAAAATCATGAGGGGCATAGATAAGTTAAATAGCCAAGGTGTTTCCTCCAGGGTGGGGGAGTCCAAAACTAGAGGGCACGAGTTTCAGGTGAGAGGGGAAATATATAAAAGGGACCCAGGGGCGACTTTTTCACGCAGAGGGTAGTGCATTGTATGGAATCAGGTGCCAGAGGAAGTGGTGGAGGCTGATACAATAACAAAATTTAAAAAACATCTGGATGGGTATATGATTAGGAAGGGTTTAGAGGGTTATGTGTCAAATGGTGGCAAATGGGGCTAGATTAGTTTAGGATATCTGGTCGGCATGGATGAGTTGGACCGAAGGGTCTGTTTCCAAGCTGTACTGTACAACTCTATGTTGCTGTTGATCATTATGGTATTTATATGGCTCAAGTGTTAATTGCCAATATTATCCCAAACCTAAATGTTGTCCAGGTCTTGTTGCATGCTTGTTGCACAGACTGCTTCATTATCTGAAAACTTACAAATAGAACCGGACATTATGAATATTCTACTTTTGATCTTGATTGAGTGATGGTCATGGATGAAGCAGTTAAGGATGGTTGGGTCCAAGATGCTACCTGCAAACCCGCTGCAGTGATATCCTAAGGCTGAGATGATTGTCTTCCAATCACAAATTTCTTCCTTTGTGCTGCGTTTGACACAACTATGAAATTTTCCCTGATCCTTGATGACTTCAATTCTGCAGTCAGTCTTACCTTATCTCTGGAATTTTGACCATATTTGTACCAATGCTGTGATGAGGTTGAAGCCAAGTGGTACTTTCTGATGCAAATGAGTACTGGAGAGGTTACTGATGATTAGGTGTTGCTTGATAGCAATATTTTTGGATCTTTCATCATTTTGCTGATGACTGTGTGTATATTGATGGGGGCAGTCATTGATGAAAAAGACCTACCCGAACATTTTTCCACTTTGTGGAGTAGATGTCAATGTTGCTATTGAACTGGAATAACTTGGTTGGAGGCACAGCCAATTCTGGAGAAAAAACTCTTCAGAACAAGAAACAGGAAGTTGTCAGGTTACATAGCCTTAGCTGCTCCAGTGTGATCAATTGTTTCTTGATATTGTTATGACAATGGATCATAACCCAGATTACTTGCAAATACATTGAACTTTTAATTACAGTTTGTGTTTATTTTTTAAAGGACACCCCAGCCATGTTGGTCAATCACTGTATGGATTACACAATGGAAAGGGAGCATGTAAATTTGCACCTAGAGTATTAAGTAAACTTCAGATGGCAACACTTCATGCAGAAAGATGCTATTCAAAGAAATGAACAATGATCTGTTGTGGATTCAGAGATAATAAGGGGCTAATGACCCACCTCCACCCTTGCAGCAGGAAACCATTTTATATGGGTTGTGTTCCAAACTGCAGACAGGATACGAGTGGGCTCGATCTCCTGTAACTTGCTGACTGATGAAACAGGTCCATAGCAGATGCCATTTCCCTAGCCCTACACTCATCCTGGGAACATCTGGATAACGAGGATACCTACGTCAGACTCCTACTCATCAACTACAGCTCTGATTTCAACACCATAATCCCCTTCAGACTAATCTCAAAACTCTGAGACCTGGGTCTCAACTCCACCCTCTGCAACGGGATCCTCAGCTTCCTGAGCCATAGACTGAAATCACTGAAGATAGACAACTGCACCTCCTACATGATAACCCTCAACACTAGAGCCACCCCAAGGATGCATTCTCAGCCCCCACTACTACCGGTACGCCCACGACTTTGTAGCCAAGTTCCAAATGAACGCCTTCTTCAAGTTTGCTGACAACACCACCATGGTAGGATGGATATCAAACAATGATGAATGAGAATACAGAAAGGAGATACGGGACTTGGTGTTGTTGTGCAATGATAACCTTTCTCTCAATGTCAGCAAAGCAAAAGAACTAATCATTGACTTCAGGAAGAAAGGAGAAAGACACACCCTCATCTACATCAATGGAGCTGAGGTGGTGAGGGTCAAGACTGTCAAGGACAATAACCAACAACCTGCCCTGGAATTCCCATGTAGATGCAACAATCAAAAAGGCACAACAATGCCTCTTTTTCCTCAGGCAGCTTAGGAAATTCGGCATGTCCATAAGGACCCTCACCAACTTTTACAGATGCCCTATAGAAAGCATACTACCCAGATGCATAATAGCCTGGTATGGCAACTGCTCTGCCCAGGACCATAAGAAACTATAGGAGGTTGTGTCATAGTTCAGATCATCACAGAAGCCAACGTCCCATCCATAGACTCCATTTACAATTCTCATTGTCACAGAAAGGCTGCTAACGTCATCAAAGACCCCTTCCACCCTGGTAATGTTCTCCTACAACCTCTTCTGTCAGGCAGAAGATACAGCAGCTTGAACACATGCACCAACAGGTTCAAGAATAGCTTCTTCCCTGCAATTATTAAGCTGATGAATGGACTCTCTAACTTCAAATAATGTTCATCTTGCGAATGTTAATCTTGAATTATGCACCGCCTGTGCTGTGTAACCTGTATGCCTCGCTCTGTCTAAGCACCCTTTGACCTCTATGTCCTTGTTTGCTATAATCTGCCTGTACTGCTTGCAAAACAAGCCTTTTCACTATAGTTAGATACATGTGACAACAATAAATCAAATGAAATCAAATCGAAAGTAAGACATTTTGGGGCAAAGATATGTTTGTGTTTTACCCTTCCAGGAATACACAAAAAAGGGAGTGTAACTGCAAACCCTGGTCTCTGTATTCTGGAGTGCTTGTATGTGCTAGCTTCGGGTTTGAGTCCCATTGTGCTGTGAAGGAAAACAGTGAAAAATTCCCACAATTTCCTGTGTACAGGTCAAAAGAAATAAAGTCTCTGTCCTGATTGCTGGAAAAAGTCAAGTTAGTATTGCTACTGTTGAAGGAAACTAGACACACACCTTTCAGCTAACTGCAGAACCAAGAATCTCCACATAACTACTTAACTGTCAAAATCAGCACTTCTGGAATCAAAAAACTTAAAATGGCCACAACATTTTATAATTGATTAGTCACGATGGTGGAATTCAAACACAGCCTGCCAGTGTATTACCTGGGCTCTGAATTCCTATTCCAAAAACAATTCCACATGCCACCACCTCCCCATAATCATGCCATGTTATCTGACCATTATTACAATTACACATGCCTTCATGGAGACCTTTCAATGCAAAATTCTGCAACAACATAGCTGAAAAAATGAATCTTTTCAACAAGAGCTTTCATCTCAGTAGAGAGGCTTCAGGCCAATCCGTACCTATGCTGAAAACTCTGCCCACATTTTGACAGTTTTGATGAATTCCACTGTCTCCAACAGATTTATATGTTTCCTTAAACAAGGAGCCCAAACTTGCACAAAGTATTTGAAATGTTGTCTCACCAATCCCCTGTAAAACTGAAACACAATATCCATACTTTTATGTTCAATCCCAC